AGTAAACAGCTTCGATGGATATAAGCTCACTCTTAAAACCGAACTGAAGTCAGAATTTCTTTTCTTTATTTTAACAATATTTCCATTTGTGCATTTAATGACAACTCCACTACTGGAACGAGAGTCCTTGCTTTTACTCCCATCAGTATAGATAAGGGTAGCTTCAGCGGATATTGTGTGTATAGTTTCTAAGGCAGATTTTCGTAACAGGGCCAGAATATCATTTTTCTTGGAAACTCAAGACAAAAGTTCCGTATGAAACTCAACTCTAGGGAGTCCCTCAGACAGATTTAAACATTGTTTCAAGTAATGATGCTCAACATTATGGTCAATTATACCAGCATACTCAATTTGACTAAGTGGGTTATTTATCTCAAGTCTTTGGTTATTACTCCAGTGCTGCAGGATTTCTGAAGTTATATTTTGGGAGTCATAACTGAAAAGTTTATTATAATATTTTGCAAGGCCAGCATTTCTTCTTAGGCTAAGGGGTTGAAGGTCTGTTTCATACAACACAATTTTATTCGGGCAACTGTTGCGTAAGGCAGCTATAATAATGAGAAGCACTAAGTTGGGACTCTTTCCAATTTCTGGAGGTTGGTAGAAGAAGCACAACAGTAAACGGAGAAACCGTATTCCAAAATAGGTCGTATGATAGCTGAATAAGTAGTTCTCAAAGTGCAAGCATTGGCTCCCCAATCATGTCCCAAGATATACTTTAAAATGTTTTGTCGTTTTCTGCCCCTAAAAACCAGTGCATCCACATGTTTGTTACTAGTGATCTCTGGATCGAGAACAAAGCCCAAATATTTGGGATGTTTTTCATGCATAAGAGGTAAGTTATTCATAAAAACTTTTGGATGATAATTATAAAACTTCCTAATGGTGGTAAAAAAACTAACAATAGATTTAGTTAGATTAAAACTCAATTTTTGGTCTTTCGAGAATTTCCACACTTCTTCAAGAATAAGATTTATATTGGTCTCCTGGGCCGGAGCTCCAAAGAGCGATATCATTCGCAAATAGCCCAACCTCACATCTCCTTGATATAATCTTCTCAATTCTAGCCAAATACAGACAGAAAAGAATTGGGCTCAACACTGAACCCTGGGGGGACACCTTGGCTCAATTTAAAGGTGTTTGATATAGTGGAATTAAGCTCTACTTTTATTAGTCTATTTCTTAAGAAATTTGCTATCCAGGTCAAGGCTTTACCCCTGATGCCAAAGTCTTCGTAAAGTTTAATAGTTAGTTTATGTTTCCAGACGCAGTCAGATGCCTTTGATAAATCTAGAAAAAGCAGCTACAGTATGATTGGTAGGTCGCTTGTTTTGGGTGTCTCTAATCTTCTGGCTGAGATAAACTAATTGATCAGTGTTGCTACGACCTCTTCTGAAATCGTATTGTTCTTTTGGTAGGAGGTCATGGGTATCCAGGTGGAAGAGCAACCGCCCCATAATAATTTTTTCCATGACTTTACATGTAATGCTGGTTAGGGCAATGGGTCTGAAGTCCCAGGAGATCCATCGGTTTGGCCAGGTTTCTCCAGGTGTGATTGTGACTCTTTTCCACACTTTAGGAAGGCATCCAAGACTCTGAGATTGATTCACTATATTCAGAAATTTCTTTCTTGCATGAATGCCAAGATGCCCAATCATCTGGCCATTGATGGCATCAGGTCCAGGAGTTTTGGTCAAGTCAAGATCCTGGATGGAGAAGGATTTAAAGAAAAGGGGATTTCCGAGACAGCACTACGACATTTATGTGCAAGATCTGTAGAAAACTAACAATAGCCACTTTCTTATCAACTTCTGTATTTTCAAAACAAGTCCCAGTTATTTCTTATCATATTGATTGTTTCTTTCAATGCTGACATACAATTACATAGAATTTTTACCAGATAGTTCAGTTTATGCCCTAACACCATTCGTGGTAATTAAGTCGATTAGGATGCAATCACACCCCTCACCCGAAGGCGAAAATATAGAAAAGGCAAAGCCAAGGGTCATCAATTCTAATGAGAATGCACTAGTAAAGTAAAGCACTGCGGTTTTACATAATTTCTGAGTAAGCTATTCGTACGAATTGAAATAATTCTTGCATTTAAACTTGTATTCCAAATTAAGATTTAACTTGAAATTAATGTAGATAATTACTGAAAGAATTAGATTTTTGTGCATAGTTTACGTGAGATGATATCGCTTGGGGTCATGATATGAACAGGTGAATCAGGATGTTGTACGAAGTAAGCATAGTAAATTCTTAAATTAATGTCTTTTTACCAATTTATTGTCTTTATTTATTGGCTTTTTTACAAAATTTTAAACTATATTAAAATATTTATACCTTCAAAATAAAAAATTCTTAAAACTAACATTTGTCAACACTTTTTATGTGTATACTCTGTGTTTTGGCCAATAAAGTCTACTCGGCGAGATTTGCGCCGGCGAAACGGAAAAGTACTGATTCGTTTTATTTCTGCATTGACTTTCTTCATCTCTGACCTGTTTTGCTCTGTATTATTGTTTTTCAATTCGAGTCGCAGGCTCTCTCTCTTACGGATCAAAGGCAGCAAAGCTGGTGAATTATGAGTAAAGTAGGGATTAAAGAGCTTTAACTTTCCTCTAGAAATAGTTCTTTTAGCTGCCTTGAAGAGCATGTGCTTGAAAGTAATTCAGTTAGTATCAAGGTCACTTGAGTGAATGCTAGGTTCAGCCAATGTTTCAACGAGATCACCAAAGGCCTTCCAGTCTGCCTTAACAAAATTCCAGTATTTTTTACGATTGAGGAAAGTACACTCTTTCTTCTTTATTTCAATTAAAATTGGTCATTCCCAATGAACATTGGGAGAATGGTCACTCCCAATGTTCTTCATAACTGTCCAGGTGCAAATTGGAAAGATAGTGGGACTTGCTATGGACAAATCAAGGGCTTCAGACTTGTTATAGCTGTATGAAGAGTGTGTTGCAGTACCATCATTAAGGATCATGAAACTTGAGTCATCTGCATAATGAAGAAGATCAATTTCTCTCTGATTCTGGGAAGAACATGCATTTACGTCACCAAGAAGTAGAGTATTTCCAGATAAAAGATTATCAAAGACTCCAGTAAGATTACCAATGTGAGGAGGGTGATATAAATTAAAGATGTCTAGTGGTTCACCTGTCCACATAACAGTGACGTCTTGCAACTCTAAATCAGAACCAGTGGGTGCACTTTTGGAAATATAGTAAATATCTCTGATAAGGAAAACGAGGCCACCGCCTTCTTTCTTATGTCTGTCTAAACAGATAATGTTGTATCCCTTAACTTTTAGTTGAGAATTCTCTCTCAATTTTGTTTCCTGCAGAGTGATAATTTGAGCTCCCTGGTCTTCAGCCAACTCCAATATTTGGTGAAGTTTAGATTTCCCTGCCAATGCTGAAATACATTAACGTTACATTGGATTATTTTAAGAGTTCGTAGTCTAGGAGTCTAGATTATTTTTCGGATGACGTCCTCTTCCTAATCCTCGAACGCACCCCTTTTGAACCTGTGCGACGGCGATGCAGTATGGATTACATTAGAAAGCTTCATGACTCATGGGTGGAGGAAAAGGGCAGCCTCTGTAAGTCGTGAGACCCGAGCACCAATGGTAGAGGACTGACTTAGCTCAGATGCCTGTAGGTTTTAGCTGGGTATAGTGGAATAGCCTTCGCGCCTTAGTTGGCATACTTCGCCTGTTCCACCCAATGCCAGCCCCTTGCCACGTTGAGGCAGCCTACACCTCTTGAGGGGGATAATAAAAAATGTTAACAAATGTTAGTTCTTAAGATTTTTTTATTTTGAAGGCATAAACATTGTAATATTGTTTAAAATTTTGTAAAAGGCCAATAAATTTGTAAAAAGACATTAATTTAAGAATTTATTATGCTTTTATGTTTCAACATCCTGATTCGCCGGTTTATATCACATTACCCCAAGTGATCTCATCTCACGTAAACTACGCTACAAAAATCTAATTCTCTCAGTAATTATCTACATTAATTTCAAGTTAAATCTTAATTTGGAATACAAGTTTAAATGAAAGAATTATTTCAATTCATATGAATAGCTTACTCAGAAATTATGTAAAACTGCAGTTGACTAATTGACTTAATTATGGTGAATGGCCGTAGGGCATAAAATTGAACTATCTAGTAAAAAATTCTATGTAATTGTATACCAGTATTGAAAGAAACAATCAATCTGATAAGAAATGGCTCTAACTTGTTTTTTGAAAATGAGGTGTAAAAGGTTACCAGCAATGATATTCTGTTTTGGCATCAGTTGTACCATTATTGGTGACTTTATCACCTGTGCCGGCAAAACAGAAAAGTACTCATATTTTTAATTTTATAACTTCTACATGCCATCTTACTGCATTTAAACTGATGATCTGATATCCAGAAAAATCCAAAATCCGGAATCGCTGAAGTCCCGATGAGTCTGGACTTTGTACTGTAGTGAGTGAAAGGTTAAAAGTATATTTTAGGGTACCCCTTGGCGATTTTTAGTGGTACATTGATACCGAGCTTGTGCAATTCTTATTATTTTGGCTTGCATTTTTGTCACAAAAGTCGCCTCTGCACAAAGCCAAAATGACAAGACAAAGAATTGCACAAACTCAGTATCCATGTACACATCGACCAATTTCACTTTAAAAAAAAATCTCCGAATTGCGCAAAAATGGCGTTGTACACTTCCTTGACTTTATCCATGTACATGTCAACGTATTTTCATTTAAAAAAAATCCTCGAATTGCACAAAAATTGCATTGCACACTCTTTTAACTTTATCCATGTACACGTCGACCTATTTTCACTTAAAAAAATCCCAGAATAGCACAAACTTGCATTGCGCACTCCTTTTACTTTGTCCACATACACATCGATATATTTTCACTTAAAAAAGTAAAAGGATCACCAAATTCTACAATATAGGCAAACAAAAAAATACATAATTCTTATTTCTATTTATAGTTTGCAAGAAATGGCGATTAGTATAAAGAAGTGTTATGAATATCAGCTGATGTTTCACAAGAACAGAAGTCATGCAACATGAAACATTTGAAGATTAAATTTGAGCGATCCCCTTGCAAAGGCAGCATTTAAAAAAAAAAAAAAAAAAAAAAAAAAACTCTATAGCTAAGTCACTCTTCTTTGCAAATAATTTATTGCATATAACATTTTCATGTGATTTTTCTTGAGAGTAAATAAGCACATGTATTGCTCAATGACTTTTGAATTTAAATGAACTGCTATCTTTAGTACATGTTCACGATTTCTCACCAGTATGGGTAAAAATATGTTTGTTCATAACATACATTTAACTATGAATAACTGGTTACAAATATCACATACGGGTCATTTCTCATTGTTATGCTTAAGTGTTTGTGTCTTTAATACACTTGTATGTGCAGATGATTTACAAATATTGCATTGATATAGTTTGTTCCTAGTATGTGTAAACATGTTTATTTTAATGATGCCTTCATGCAAATAATTCATCACATACAACCTGTTCATGTGGTTTCCTTTAGTGAGATTAAGGTGTATGTTTTAATATGACTTTTGAGTATAAATAGCATGAACACACGCTTGTTATTTCTTATCTGTGTGAAAAGCAATATGTGCCTTTAACATATTTGTTGTGAAAATAACTTACTATATATACTAGCCATATGATTTCTTATGTCTTTCTAGAAGTGCATTCCAATAAAACTGGCCTTTGTGTATGCTAGTAGTATTCAACTTTATGGCAGTGTGACCTCATAAAAGTGCAAGCAACCCCAAAAAACAATTTTACTTCCCAAATTAGAGCTCCAAACACATTGGAAGATTTTGTAGAAAATTGTTCATGAAAAGATTTATTTTAGAAATTTTTCTTCATAAATTTGTTCCCATTCATCTCAAATCCACAGCCAAAATCAACAAAAATTAAATAACCTTAGTAAAGATAAATGTGTTGAAATATAAAAAACTGACTGTGTTTTTGAAACATGAGGGCATGCAGTTTATACTCTTGCTATCTGGAGAAGTCATCCAGCTCTGTGCCAGGATTTTGCATTGACTGATAAATATAAATATTTTATTAATCAACTTATAAGTTGGAATTTTTATGACTGGGTATTGTTGACTGTAATCAAACATCAGTTATAATCTCTGTTATTCTTTGTTTTGTTATAATTTTAAAATGTTTTCCATTCTTTAGTGATTCCATTTTCCATACTGATTTCCATACTGTTGCTGTAAAAGTAAAACATATTATAAGAAAAGAAATTTTGTCTTTATAGGATAATGTGTTAATTCTTTCTTCACATCTTCATAGCTGTCCACTGGATGGGTAGAAGCACGTGTTTACATGAAAGAAACAGGGTGCTTTACACTCATATTAACATTTCTCTCTTCTATATTTAATACAAATAACTTGAAATTATGTATACCTTTTCTTTGTAATAGTAGCTTTTACACAAATAATATCACAGATTTCTCACATGTGATTTTCTGTTTTATGTAAAGGGCAGTGCCAGATGAAGCATAGATCACCTAGTCAGTTACCAGGTTGTGGTGTAGTGGCCGAAACCGCTACACAAACCTCGGCTTGTGATACAGGGTTGAAATGAACTTCTAACTCAAATTATAACAGTAACATGAATTTTAATAAAATAAAAACCTAACAAGTGCATATCCAGATGACTTGGGACTTGAATACACTTAGTCCCGTAATTTCAAAACTTTGTTAACGGAAAGAGTATTGCATTATACACGAGGAATGATAGTTCTCGCGGGCCAACATGGCCATAACTCGGGCAGGAAAGTGTCCTCGCTCTGACACTTCTGGTGTCAGAGTATTCTGGTGCTCTACACACTCTCAATATCACTTCTGGTGTCAACTACTTAGAGTTCTAACTGGTTCATTCATGTATGCAAAAGGCTGCTCATGGTAGTTTTTTAAAAAATTATGGTACATATTACCCATCCGAAGGCAAAGATGTACAAACTGAGTTCATCAGGCAATCAAAATTGGGTAGAAAGGCAAGGTACGTGTGGTCACAAAGTTTAAAGTCTCGATATATTTAAAATCAATTTTCTGTGTAAGTTCAAAGTTCACTAAGTTTTTGAATAAAATAATACAAATACTAATCTTGATTAAATAATTCTGCAATAATATGTACAAGCTCAGTTACTGAGAGAAGTCGAGGTGGATCACGTGATGGTATGGGCAAGTGGAGTGATAGCCACAGCGGTAGACGTGCTGAAATTATAATTAACACAATACTTGAATATTAGAATTAGAAATAACACATAAATAAATAAGTAACATAGAGTCCATAGTCTGCTCTAGCAGGCTCAAAGTCCATTACGCTTTGCCAGAAGACACAATCATTTAAATTTCACTAAGTTCTTGGTTAGATAAATAATGAAAGTCTTGGTTAAATAAACTTTCAATACTATTAAACTATTTACATATGTACATCACCATTTTGGGTGTTGGTTGTATAGACCTAGGCCTTTTACCACACTTTCCATGGTGGGATCGTAGTTTGCAATCACTTTTATAGCGTACACTATTGAATTTTGCGTTTTCTCGAAAAAGTTACGAGCTTCCATGAGGATTTGCTCTGGGATTGGTTTTATTTTGAGGTCTTCCTGAATTATGCTGTTCCGGGCGAATCACGGTGATAGCTCTAAGAATTTTATTTTGTAAGCATTTTTCCTTTCTGTTTTAATAACAATAGCCCAGGCTGGGGCTGCATACAATAAAACAGGTTTAATTAAGGTTAAGTAGAGCATTCTTTTGATTTTAATATTGAGTTTTGATCTTCTGCCAATTAAGTTATAAAGTGCCATAAAGGCTTTATCTACTTGATAACTGACATGATCTTTAAGGAGAGGCGGTTGTCAAGAATTACTCCTAAATATATTGCTGAACTTGAAACTAGAATGATTTCATTTTCAATTTTGATATCACATATTTTTTCTATTTACACATTGCTGTATTAATTTTAATCTTCCAAAACTGACACCAGGATCTGTTCTGTATCTCAAATTATTTTAAGAGCAAGCTGTGGGTTTTTGGACTTGGATAGAATTACTGTGTCGTCCGTATATTTTCGGGCCTTCGCATTTAAAGGATTTGGGAGGTCATTTATATAGATATAAATAATATAGGCAACATAATTGACCCTTGCGGGACCCCGCTAGTCATTATTTTCTTCTGTGAAAGGGAATCACAAACTCGAACTTGGAAAGTCCTTCTTTTGAGGAATGAGATAATGAGCTTTACGAAGCTTACAGGAAACATGAAATTATTCAATTTGTAGATCAAGCCTTCACTCCAAACTTTGTTGAAGGCTTTCTCTAGGTCTAGCAAAAAAGCAGGCTTTATGAAAAAAGGCTTCTGAGATGTATTCGACCAAATTCAGAACTTGATGAGTGGTATTATGATTTTTAGTAGTTTAGGGTGCGTTCAAAGACTAATTGATCGATAACTTGCTGCAGGCATCTAAAGGATTTTTCCCTGGTTTCAGAACTGTAATTATAATTGAGTGCTTCCACTGCTGTGAAAAGTAACTGTTTTTTTATGCAAGCAATACTAGATATCTTGGAGGAAGAGCTTTTAAGGCCTGATTATTCGCACCGTCATAACCTTGGGGTTTTTTAGCATTAAGTTTCTTGATAATAAGCTGGATTTCTGTTGGGGAGACAAAAGAGTTTAAATTTTCTCTTGCTTTTATAACATTTACAGTGTTGATAACCTCTCCTTTGGGTTGTAAATCAAATGGAGGGTTAGGTTTAAAAGTTTCTTCTAAGTTACTTGCGAAGATGTTTGCAATCTCTATTTCTGAATAGTAGGTGGAGCCTAGAGGATTTAACGGGGCCATGTGATTTGTCTTCTCTTTCCTAGTGGCTTTCACAATTTTTCAAATTCAATTGGTATCCGTATCTAAATTTTAGAGGAGTGAATCTCAGCTTTCGGAGCGAAAATCATTTACATCCTCAGAAAATTTCCTATTTAGATAATTTGTCTTTTTAAGGAAGGATCTTGCGTCATGTCCTCACTCTTCTCAGGAAAAGCCTTCTATATCTGAATATGTCATTACCTGCAAACTCCCGGGAGAAGATTCCTTCACTCGTACATAACAAAGGGATCCATATTCTGACCCTGATGAAAAGACTTCTTTTATCTCTTTGTCTGTTGGAGTGACCGAGGTTGCAATTGGATTCATTAACAAAGGCACCTCATTGCAACAGAATTTCAGTACTGATCTGTAAGAGGTGCAATCTGAAATCATTCATACCTAGACAAAAAACCTTTATGCGACCTTATCACAACTCCTCCCCTCATAGGAGAATTTTCCTGGACTATGGAAAGGAAAATTCCAAGTACTTTTCACTTCTTTCAGAACAAAAGTGGTAATCATTTAAGTGATAATACAGAAGCCAGTTACTTTACCCTGCACTTATTTCTAGATAACATCAACCTGAGACAGATAACACAAAGACAAGAATACAACAAATGATTTAACTACTGCTATTTCCTTTCTCAGTTTACAAACATTTCTCAGTTAACAAACATTTGATACTTAACATAAAACATTTGATTCTAACCCTTCTGGAAGAAAAAAAAAAAAAATTTTTTTTGATTTAAAAATAGTACAGTCAAATACCGAAAATCCGCCGACTCCTGAAATTCGTTTTGCCTATAAACATTCAGTTTATAGGTTCCGGAAACTGCAACATTCAGTACGAAATATCGAAGATAAAATACTTACCGAATACTGACATCATAATTACCGAATAATAATGAGTCATAACGGAAATACCAAATTATTGACATCATGATAAAAGTTTTTTCTCCTCTAATCTGCATCGAGGTAAGAAAGCAGATGATTCACTCAACTCTCAACGATTCACTTTGTTGTATTTTCTAAGCTTTGTTATTTCACGAGATTATTTAGTGCTGCCTTTTTTTATCCGGATATTTGTGGATAAATTAAGAATGTTTTAAATTTCAGTCCTTTTTAATACAATTACAGATAAGAAACGCACTCATGATTTTACTGCTTGCGTTGAAATATGTAAACACGTTGCATTGACGGTAATGCAAAAAGTGCAAATTCCACAAAAGATGGAGATAGGTGCATTTTATAGCAGAATCGGGTGGAATTGTGATACGATTGTGTATGATATACGGAAAAATAAAGAAAAGCTGTTGAAATTTGACAGCAACAGTGATTCTAACACTGGAATCCGAAACCGGAAATCTTTGCATGAGGCGAAATCGGCAAACCTTGATGCTGTGTATATATAATACAATGAATAATAATTAAATGCATATGATAAGTTATTGCAATAATGTATATAATAATTTAATTAAATGTATCTAATACGCCTTATTTATTTTGCACTTTTAGTCTGAATATTATGATTTATCTTTTCTGTCCTAAAATCCACACGACCTCTGTTCCCAAGCTTTGTGGATTTCTGGACTTCTACTGTATAGTAATGCCAAAACACGACAAAAATCATTTTCATCTGTTTTCATTAATTTTCAGTAACATTGTATCCACTAGTGACATTCAATTACTAGACTAAGGCACGATTCAAGCCATCCGTATTACGTGTAATTTGCCTGGCCTATGAACAATTTCAAAATTGTACTGCTGTAGACACAATGTCCAGCGAATCAAATGATTTAATCCCATCATTTTGTTTAAAAATATCAGCGGATTATGATCCGTTTGGATTTTAAATTTTTGTCTGTCTAAGTAATGATTTAGCTTCATCAGTCCATAAATAATGGTTATTAGTTCCCTTTTAATGGTGCTATAATTTCGCTCCACTTTAGAAAACTTTTTCCTAAGATACAGTATAGGGTGATGCTCCCCATCCTGAATTTGAGACACACAATACCTGCACCTTATAAGCTGGTGTCGGTCTGTACAATAAATTCTTTAGAATAATCTGGTGCAACAGACTTTTTACTAGTTTGGCCTTAAGTTCGTTAAAAGCATCATTCGTACTCTTTTGTCCAGATTACTTTTTCTCTTTTATTTTTGCCCTTCAAAGCGTCTGTCAGAGGTACCACAGTACATGCGTAGTCCTTTATGTACCTTGCATAGTAGCCTACAGTACCAGGTCGACACTAAATCCCCGAATGCACAGGGAGGTCACGTGATTGTCACTTCATGCGTAAGCCAACGTCACACAAAATGTAGAGTCATTAAGTTAATTAGAAGCAGAAAAGATGAAAAATATGCAACCGCCTTCACCGG